CAGTGTGCACACTGACACTTATGTTATAAGTTATATATATAGCAGGTAGGAAAGCGTGATCGCAAAATTTGCTCGATGCTCGCTTGATTTCACACTTTCACAGCACGAATACACATCCAACAGCTGCCATCTTTGTTTCTATGTCAAGAACAGTGTTCACTTGTTATAAAAACATGCTGTCTCTGTTCGTAACCGAACTGTGTCACGCGAAATCACACAAAGACTGACGAAATTTTCACGTTCGCGAACCTTGCCCAGTAATGTAAATGGCTGCAAGTACAAGGCTATATAGACTGGGACTCGTTCCCACCTCAATTACCCATTGAGTGACTAAGCTAAGCCGAGAGGTGGGAGCGAGTGCCAGTCTATGGGCTATAGGCGGCGCACTGCTTTCCAACTTCCGTACGAGCCTCGCCATTGGAACGTTGCAAAAACGTTGCAGCGTTGCGGCGCAAGAATGAGGTCACGAAGAGCGCCGGTAGGTGTTTCCTGATTCTGACAGCCATTTACATTACTGGGCAAGGTTCGCGAACGTGAGAATTTCGTCAGTCTTTGTGTGATTTTGCGTGACACAGCTCAGTTACGAACAGAGACAGTATGTTTTTATAACAAGTGAACACTGTTCTTGACATAGAAACAAAGATGGCAGCTGTTGGATGTGTATTCTTAGGGAGTAGGCGTAGGCGACTCCCTAGACTCGTTAGTGGAGTAGGCGAGGTACGGTCCGGCATATTAGATAGTAGTATTTAGTACCAGGGTACGTTCCGGTATACCAGACCGTACCCAGGGAACGTTCCGGCAGTACCCTGGGGGACATAGACCCTCTCAGCGGCACTTGAAGCGTTTCAATAAAATATAATGCTAACTAAATACGAAATCTATTTACTACCAAATTCTTACGCTGCCGGCACCATTGCTCTCACGGCTCCACTGTTGCACGCTTACACTAATATATATAGCAGGTAGGAAAGCGGGATCACAAAATTTGCTCGACGCTCACTGGATTTCACACTTTCACAGCACCCCTAACCCTAACTCTAACCCTAACCCTAACCCTAACCCTAACCCTAACCATATCAGCTAGATAGTTACCAGGGTACGTTCCGGCAGTACCCTGGTGGGCATAGACCCTATGAGCCATAGTAAAGCACACAGCTAGCATAATCTACATATTTTACTGGCAGCAATGTTTCTCCTAAGAAATATTTGTGCGAGTGCTGCGTCTTGGACATTTTACTTAGTTCTGTGCTGTATTAGCACAATTATCTATCACGGTTTACCCCTCATTTGGTATGTTTTTTAGGTACTGAAGATTGCAGACTACATTGTGCCAGGGCATGGCCAGATGTTTAAAGTGACAGAGGAAATGAGAAATACCGAGGAATCTTATCTGAATTGGGATCGTCCGGATGAGGGTGAACTGACATAGAGAAACGTCTAGGCTGCCAACAGTAAATGTTTGATGGACAAGATGAGCAGAGCTGACAGGATATTTGTTTAGTGCTGACAGGGTATTTGTTTAGAGCTGACACACCAGTATATTTCGAGAAAATTGCGGTTATTTATGGCAGGTCCAGGGCCTCTAGTCCGTGTTGCTGGTTGAGGGAAATCTGGTACCACTGACGAGGTGTAGTATAATGTACCTGTGTGCCATTTATAACACTGGCAGATTGTAGTTTAGAAACAGATATGAAAGGTGTTGTTGAGTAAGGCCACAATGCAAGATGCTTATTGTTATCAGGAGTGAATAATAATAGATCTATAGAATCTGTTATTATTCACTCCTGGTAGATCCTAATAGATTATTCAATCTGTTATTATCACTCCTGTTGTTATGGTGCTTGACATACTGCACTGTCGTGGCATAAGTTTTTTGTGACTAGTTATAATATACATGAGGTAATTATGACAAAAAGTGAATATATTCCACGTTGTTCTTATTTTCGGAATTGCAGAGCTTGAGCTTCAAAGCAGTATTTTTAGTTACATTTGTCATCTATCATTCACAGCTAAACATAGTATCTGTACAGCTTAAATTATGCCCTTGCTGTGGCAGATAAGGTCTATGTCCCCCTGACCTCTGTTTGACCTGGCTCGTTTAGCTATTTCTGACTAATATATATATATATATAATATATAATATATATAGGGTTAGGGTTAGGTTTAGTCAGAAATAGCTAAACGAGCCAGGTCAAACAGAGGTCAGGGGGACATAGACCCTACGAGCCTTGAGAACAAGCAATAAGAAGTTCAAAGATCCTGACTGGAATCAAATACAGTTATACACTTACACCAGCAAATAGTATCTGTTGTTTGAACAGTAAAAATGGCTGTGTAGAATCAAAACTATTTAACAAACACTTATAGCATAGTTATCGCTTCGTTTCGTTTCACATAACGTGATATGTGTCTTATGGTGCCAGATTGTTAAGCCTAGGTCAAATTGATGCCATGTGATAAGCAAATTATCAGGTTGGGTATATTGATATAATGTTTTTGTAAATATTTCTAGTCTTACACGTGACTTAAATAGCTGCTTGTCTTTTTTGTAAACATTTTATAAAATATTTTATCAATTACATGACACCAGCGTTCAATGGTACAAGATTCATGGTGCTGATAATGCACTGTCACTGTTGTAAGATTAGTAATATTACATGAGACCAATATTTGCTCTATTTAATTTATTTCTGGAATATTATTATGTTTGGGAATTTATTTCCCATTTAACTAGGGAAAAAAATCTAAGCAACCACACTGATAATCTTATATTATTGTCTTGTATAAAAAAAAAAAAACGTTCATGACGTGTGATGTTATTGAGGAACAAGACTTATGTATTCCATGTTTTTTTAAATTCGATGAGAAGTTTAATATATTTTATTGTGATTGATTTACATTTGATTTACTGTGATTTTATCAAAACCACTTGAGTTACACTACATCGAAGATTGCTGTTATTCCTTATCAAACATGCACGCACGCACGCACGCACACTCACTCATATACCCATACAGAAGCGCACGCACGCACGCACGCACGCACGCACGCACGCACGCACGCACGCACGCATCCACCCATAAACAAAAAGCACGCACGCACGCGCACACACATATACCAATCCACAACACGCACGCGCGCATGCAGTCATTTTCCCACGCATAAATACACGCACGCATGAATGCACTCGTATACCCATACACAACAAACGCACACATACACACGCACTCATACACCCATACACAACGAACACGCACTCACGCACGCACACACGCACTCACACACTCATACACACATTGCACGCACGCACACTGTAATGTACTCACACACAAGAAATACGCACGCACACACTCATGCTCCCATACTACTACCCTACCATGCACTCATACCCAAAATATTTTTCTTCAAATATCAGGAGATATTGTGCATGCGCGAGCACCGTTTCAGGCGTGCAGTACGGACTGAACAAAACTGCATAATATAGCTTGCTGAGAGAGCGAGAGGGGTGGGAGAGTGAGGACAGGCGGCAGGCAAGATAGCTGGGGCGGTGCAAGAAGGAGAAGAATGAGCAAGGGACAAGGGAAGCAAGAGAAAGAACGGGAGTGGATGAAACAGGAGTTTTGCACTCCACAGGCTAGGGCGCTTTCCTAATTATAAACACAGGTTTACTGGATATTAATTTATTACAGAAATCTATGCTGAGATACTCCCTAACCTTATTAAATGCATATTCATTACAAAATATAACTACTCTGGTGAGATATTGCGCATGCGCTTAAACACTAACATTTCCAGATTGTGTACTGGCTGCTATATGCGGCGGGGACCTGAACGCAAGGTCTTCTTCGTGTTTCTTAAGAGAAGTCTACAGATAGAATATTATTATATAAATCTATGCTAGAATACCTCCTCTTCATTTTAAATGCATAATGTTTGCAAAATATTCTTCTTCTCGGGAGATATTGCGCATGCGCGAGCACCGTTTCAGGCGTGCAGTACGGACTGAACAAAGCTGCATAATATAGCTTGCTAAGAGAGCGAGAGAGGTGAGAGACTGAGGAAAAGTGGCAGGCAAGACAGCTGGGGGCGGTAGAAGAAGGAGAAGGATGAGAGAGGCAAGAGAAAGAATGGGAGGGGATGAAACTGGAGTTTTGCACCCCACAGGCTAGGGCGCTCTCCTAATTATAAACACAGGTCTACTGGATATTAATTTATTACAGAAATCTATGCTGAGATACTCCCTAACCATATTAAATGCATATTCATCACAAAATATGACTTCTCTAGTGAGATATTGCGCATGCGCTACCACACTAACATAGCCAGATTGTGTACTGGCTGCTATATGCGGCTGGGACCTTACATGCAAGGTCTTCTTCGTGTTTCTTAAGAGAAGTCTACAGATGGAATTTTATCATAAAAATCTATGCTAGAATACCTCCTCTTCATTTTAAATGCATAATGTTTGCAAAATATTCTTCTTCTCGGGAGATATTGCGCATGCGCGAGCCCCGTTTCAGGCGTGCACTACGGACTGAACAAAACTGCATAATATAGCTTGCTAAGAGAGCGAGAGGGGTGGGAGAGTGAAGACAAGCGGCAGGCAAGATAGCTGGGGGGGGGAGGGTAGAAGAAGGAGAACGGCAAACATGCATTTAAAATAAAGAGGAGGTATTCTAGCATAGATTTTGTATGATAAAATTTCATCTATAGACTTCTCTTAAGAAACACGAAGAAGACCTTGCATGTACGGTCCCCGCCGCATATACCAGCCAGTACACAATCTGGCTATGTTAGTGTGTTAGCGCATGCGCAATATCTCACCAGAGGAGTCATATTTTGTGATGAATATGCATTTAATATCGTTATGGGGTATCTCAGCATAGATATCTGTAATAAATTAATATCCAGTAGACCTGGGTTTATAATTATTAGCGCCTTCTAGCCTGTGGAGTGCAAAACTCCTGTTTCATCTCTTCCCGTTCTTTCTCTTGCCTCCCTTGTCCCTCGCTCATAAAATATTATTTTTCTCGGGAGATATTGCGCGCGCGCGAGCACCGTTTCAGGCGTGCAGTACGGACTGAACACAACTGCATAATATAGCTTGCTAAGAGAGCGAGAGGGATGGGAAAGTGAGGACAGGTGGCAGGCAAGATAGCTGGGGGCGGTGGAAGAAGGAGAAGGATGAGCGAGGGACAAGGGGGGCAAGAGGAAGAACGGGAGGGGATGAAACAGGAGTTTTGCACTCCACAGGCTAGGGCGCTCTCCGAATTATAAACACAGATCTACTGATAATAATTTATTACAGAAATCTATGCTGAGATACCCCCTAACCATATTAAATGCATATTCATTACAAAATATGACTACTCTGGTGAGATATTGCGCATGCGCTTAAACACTAACATTTCCAGATTGTGTACTGGCTGCTATATGCGGCGGGGACCTGAACGCAAGATCTTCTTCGTGTTTCTTAAGAGAAGTCTACAGATAGAATTTTATTATATAAATCTATGCTAGAATACCTCCTCTTCATTTTAAATGCATAATGTTTGCAAAATATTTTTCTGCTCGAGAGATATTGCGCATGCGCGAGCACCATTTCAGGCATGCACTTCGGACTGAACAAAACTGCATAATATAGCTTGCTAAGAGAGAAAGAGGGGTGGGAGAGTGAGAACAGGCGGCAGGCAAGATAGCTGGGGGCGGTGGAAGAAGGAGAAGGATGAGCGAGGGACAAGGGAAGCAAGAGAAAGAACGGGAGGGGATGAAACAGGAGTTTTGCACCCCACT